TTTTCAAGATCTCGTCGAGCGCTTTCACAAAATATAAAAATCTTTGTATTTGGGTGAAAAACAAAAAAATGGCACGAGTTAAAAAATTTTACATGTCGTAGGTACCCTACTTTGAGCCGCCACAGCGCCGTCCCTGGGGCATCTGCAGGGTTCATCTTCAAAACTTAAACTCGAATACTCCTTGGCTACGCTCACGCCAAATTTTATCCCGATCGTATCAGCCGTTTAGAAATGCCAGATTTATTTCCAAAAAATTTCCATTCTGCCCCACTGTGTAGCGGCAGAGACGGCTACTATTTGCAACTCATTTCACTTAATTTTCAAGATATTAAACGAAAGAAATATTTAATGCACAAAGTTGATTTCTTAAAATATAAAACAAAAAAAGAATTTCCCATCCATGCAGGAAATGGAACTAGTACCAAACTAGTACTTTACTAGTACCAAAATCACCAGTACTAGTTCCCAACTGTAAACTTTCCTATACCATCTTAATGCTCAAATTAACATTGAGTGTGTTTGAAAAATTAGTAGTACCATTAGTTCTGGACTTATACTAGTACACTTGGACCCAATTGGGTCCTTTAGAACCAGTTAATTACTAGTTCTTGCTCCTTTGTAATCCTCCTGCTAGGTTCCAAGTAAAAATTAATACAAAATTGGTTTTTATATTGTTTTGTTTATAAAAATTCAATTCAAATAAAACATTTTGTAAATATATTTATACTAGCTTGAAGAAAATCTGGTTTCTATCCGCCCCAGCAACGTTGATATCGTGGGTTATACATATAATGTCCACCAAATTGCATTCAGGTATTGCCTCAAATACATTTGCGATAAAATAACTACATATATGTACATATAAAACTCATTGCAATTTTAAAATTTAACATACGTACTCACATATGTTGCTCTGTACCCAACTATACCCAAACAGTCATTCACTATTTATCCTCTAATTTGAAAGGAAATATTTGTAAATTTCCTTTATTTTATGCAAAATGTTTGAGAATTATGTATGTTTAAGTTAAAATTGATGTAATTACTTTTTTTGTAATACTTTTTATAACAACGTTAGAATCTTATAAAGCTCCTCATTATTGGAACTTTATTGGAAGATTCTAACGAGTAAACCGCTAACGGTGCTTAAATATTGTTTGCCACCAAATTTATGCTTGTTTCGTTTGACATTATAATTCACTTTTGATTTGTCTACGAGACAAGCACTACGTGCATATTATATTTAAAAACCATCTACTTCTTCGAGGTAATATTTTGGTTGAAATAAAAAGAGATCTTCGTCTCTAATAAGATTGAATATTCTTTGTTTTATTTTTATATAAAATCTTGGGAATCTTGTTGGAGCTGAACATTTGGTCCTGGCGAACCGGATTTTTTGGATCTTGATATCAGTACCGGATCTTTTTTGGCACCTTCAACTCCATTCCTACAATACAGTCCACCGGAGATATATTTATCATTTATTTATTTCTACGAAATAAGGTACGTAAATATATTTCAATTGTGAGCAAGTAGTAAAATTCGTTTGTTTTCTTCACACATTTTTTGTGAATTTTTGTTTTATTTTTTTTTTATTTGTGGATAGATTTCACTAATTTGAACTTTAATTTATATTTAAATATTTTTATTTCTTTTTGATCCTACGGACAATAAACTAAAGTAAATTTTGTTAAAATTTTACATTTTCTTTGTGCGTGGTTTTTACATTTTCTTTTGTGCGTTATTTGTTTACAGATTTAGATCTGTAAAATAAAAAATTTAATACATAAAAGGTTGATTCTTCTTCTACCTTTATATTAGTCACCCAACGCTCGGCCAGTTTGACTATTATCACGTTTGTTGATATAAAATTTGTAGTCAATTAGTAAATAGATATCGGGCTATTAATTTATTTTTATTGACTTTTCATATATTAAAAAATGCCGGTTTCTTCACTAAACACATTTATAAAAGCATCGGATGCTCTTATTGCATTCAGGCATATGTTTAGTAATTTTGGCGAAGAAATTCATACGGTTTATGCCTTTGAGATTCAGAGTGAGGAGTTAAAAACACTTTGGAAAAATGTTAAGACGACTTACAACGTATGTCTTAACACTTTAGAAACTAGTGAATTTGAAGTGGTGAGTGCTAAATATCAAGCCACCTACTCAGCTTATGTCCAATGTGGAGGATTCATATATGATAAAATATATAAATTCAAATCGGATTCGAAAAGTAGTGAATCTCCAACAGTAAATCCGAACTCCGGTAATTCAGAGCATAGTCTGACTCTCCCTCCTTGTGATATCGATCCATTTGGAGGTGACTATGTTTCTTGGCCCGCTTTTAAGGATTTATTTACCGCAATTTTTATTAATAGCTCACGGCTTAGCAATATAGAACGCCTTTGCCATTTGATACGAAAAACCGAGGGTGAAGCAAAATAAATCGTTTCTAAATATCCACTTGTTAACGCAAGTTTTGAGGTAGCCTGGCGCGATTTAAAGGAAGCATATGAGAATCCTTGTATGTTGGTACACAACCAACTAAAACATATTTTTGGTCTTCCTTTCCTTAACAAGGAATCGATAACAGCGCTCAAAACATTACAAGGCGGAATTAATAGTTGCCTTACGGCTCTTTCTATTTATAATGTCGTCGATTTAAAAATCTTTCAGTATCTGACAGAATTTCTACTGTGAATGATTATAACTGCTGTACTAATTGCTTTTCGAGGACACCTAAAGTCAGATGTTGTACAACTGTTTTATTTGTAATAATCGACATCATTCTATGCTTCATCATCAGCATACAGATAATTCTATAGTTGAAAGACATACTGTTTCTACTTAACATAATTCCAGTGAGGTTCTGCGACCCACTAACTCCCACACTCGACAATCGCAAAAACGTCCAATAATGTTACTTCTAATCCACAAGTATTTCATACTAGACAGAATTAGTCCGTTTTGTTAGGGACTGCAATGGTAAACATAATTCATAACAGCCGTGCATTAACAGATTCGGGTTCAGAATGTTCTTTCATTTCTGAACGTTTACAAAAAATAAAACTTCCCACTCATTCTGCGAATTCTAACGTTTCTGGCGTTAACAATGTGGTTTTTGGAGTTACAAAGTTTTGTCCTTTGGAAATTAGTTCAGATTTAGATTCTTCAATAAAACATTTGTTTTACCAGAAATAACAGGAAATTTGCCTTCGACTTCTATAAATGTCGATATTGAAAAATTATTGCCAAATCTTTGTTTGGCTGATTCTAATCTTTTTACTAGTAGGCCTGTAGATATTCTTATCGGAGCAGATTTATATCCGCGCATTATTTTACCGGAAATACAACAAAACGTATTAGGGTCATTATTGGCACGGAAAACTATTTGGTTGGATACTGACAGGTCCAGCTAATCCTTTGGACTTTGAAACATATATCGACAATTTAACGTATTCTACGTGGTCTAACGCTTTTTAACGTTTAATATAATCACTTTAAAATGCTCACAGAAATATATTTATGTTCCTACTACCTTATTTATGTTTTTACCTTCTTATTTATTATCTTTATATACATATATTACATTACTTATATTAAATAATAATCCACCTGCAGGCGTCGAGAGACTTCTTAAAAATCCACCTGCAGCACTTCGGTTTTGTGGGGAAAGTCCAGAGACTTCGAAAAAGTCCACCTTCGAGACTTCGGTTCTGTGGGGAAAGTCGAGAGACTTCTTAAAAATCCACCTTCGGGACATAATAATCCACCTGCAGGCGTCGAGAGACTTCTTAAAAATCCACCTGCAGCACTTCGGTTTTGTGGGGAAAGTCGAGAGACTTCGAAAAAGTCCACCTTCGAGACTTCGGTTCTGTGGGGAAAGTCGAGAGACTTCTTAAAAATCCACCTTCGGGACATAATAATCCACCTGCAGGCGTCGAGAGACTTCTTAAAAATCCACCTGCAGCACTTCGGTTTTGTGGGGAAAGTCGAGAGACTTCGAAAAAGTCCACCTTCGAGACTTCGGTTCTGTGGGGAAAGTCGAGAGACTTCTTAAAAATCCACCTTCGGGACTTCGGTCCTGTGGGGAAAGTCGAGAGACTTCGTAAAAATCCACCTTCAGGACTTAGGTTCTGTGGGGAAAGTCGAGAGACTTCGTAAAAATATTCATCGTATTTAAATCGTTTGCAATTCATTATGTATTGCAAGGTGGCCGGCAATGTTTAAGTTAAAATTGATGTACATAATTACTTTTTTTGTAATATTTTTTATAACAACGTTAGAATCTTATAAAGCTCCTCTTTATTGCAACTTTGTTGGAAGATTCTAACGAGTAAACCGCTAACGGTGCTTAAATATTGTTTGCCAAATTTATGCTTGTTTCGTTTTGACATTATAAATCACCTTGATTTGTCTACGTCACAAGCACTACGTGCATATTACATTTAAAAACCATCTACTTCTTCGAGGTAATATTTTGGTTAAAATAAAAAAGAGATCTTCGTCTCAATAATAAAATTGAATATTCTTTGTTTTATTTTTATATAAAATCTTGGAAATCTTGTTGGAGCTGAACAATGTATATTTTAATATTTTCAATAATTTATTTTTTCCAACACATGTCAAATAAAAATCGGTCTGCAAGTGGTAGTCCTTTAACTACTTCTAGTACTAGTATTTTTTCATAAAAAGTCTAACCTCTTTTGTACTAGTAATAGTACTAGTGGCTTTTAGACAATAATCGCTTCATTTCCTGCAGGGATATAACTCATTACCAAATAATGATATCAATACAAAATTTGGCACATAAGCTATAAAAATATGTGTCTGTAATATTCACAAATTAAATATTATTTTTACAAATATTTAATCAATTAAAAAAAATTTAATGTAATAGTAGCTGGTGGAGGGTATTTCAGATTCGGCTCAGCCGAATAAAACACTCTAACTTGTTATTTATTAATATACATATGAATATTTATTTATTTTAAGGCTGGTAAATTGAAGCATCGCCCAAAATATGATGCACCTCTAAATGAAAGTTGCAGTGGAATCGGATCAAACTTAAGAAGTATTGTAATATTAGCAATATTAATGATATTAATGATGTTTGCTGTACATTGCACATGGGTTACTAGCAATGCTTATTCTAGTCCTTCAATTGTACTAGCATTTCATAACAGTCAAGACGGGTAATTTGTAATATATACATGTTTGTTTAATACAATTTAAAAATTTATATTTTTTGTTAGTTCTCGCAATATTTTAGACGACTTTAGAGAAGCATATTATTGGCTTTCACAAAATACAAAAGAAGACTCCAGAATTATGTCGTGGTGGGATTATGGCTACCAAATAGCTGGAATGGCAAATAGAACCACGCTTGTTGACAATAATACATGGAATAATAGTCACATTGCACTAGTTGGAAAGGCAATGTCATCTACGGAGGAAAAGTCGTATGAAATAATGACATCGTTGGACGTTGATTATGTTCTTGTAATATTTGGGGGCGTGATAGGATATTCTGGAGATGATATAAATAAATTTTTGTGGATGGTACGAATTGCCGAAGGTGAACATCCGAGAGATATAAAAGAAAGCGATTATTTTACGGAACGTGGAGAATTTAGAGTGGATGCAGAAGGCGCGCCTGCTCTTTTAAACTGTCTTATGTACAAACTAAGTTATTACCGTTTTGGCGAATTAAAATTAGATTACAGGTAAATAAATAACGTTTTATTTATTTTTTTATTTATTTTTTACAACCGAGCCTATTAATTTCGCCATATATAATTGCTTATAATTTATAGTTATTATTAATTTTAAATTTAAATAAATAGATAAATTCTAACCAAAAATGATTTTTCGTAAGAAGAACATGTTATTTTTGGTAGTTTTATCTGTGTATTTCTGAAACTGTGAGAAAAGTTAAATAATTTATATAAATTCCGTGGTTTTCCATATTTGGCAATCTTATAAAACAATCTTAACGATCTTATTTTTGCATACTCAGGAAAACTTCATCCGAGAAATCTATTTTCATAAAATTATGTATGATCCTGAACATGTAATTTATAAACATAACTTATTATTTGGCGAGTTACTCTTCTCAATTTTAAGTGTTCGCCTATCGAACATCCTTCAATAACTTCTAAACAATATAAGATGTGTGGCATTAAAATATTGTGTACTAATATAACTCTAACATTAGTATGCAAATATCTACAAATATTATATAACACTGTGCAACAAATTGAGGGTCATGGTCTGGGGGTGAAAAATTCCTATGATAACTTAAAGTACTAAAGTACTTAAGTTTTAATACTCTAAAAACCCCCAAACTGTTCGGCGTTGGTAGTTCAAACTTTTAGTTATCGGTCATTGAAAGTTGTGCTTTTTAACACTAAATTTATAAGTAGAAATTTATAACCGATTATGGCCTATATAGGCTAGGTTATTGAAATAAAGAATTTGAAATTGAAAAAAAAATTGAAAAATTTATTAAAACTTTACAAATACTTTCACAATTCACATCAAAAACATATTTTTTGTCTAGCTATCTGAAGAACAATTTTGCAAAGAATATTTCTGACAGATTTTTGACCACAAATATTGAATATGAATGGGTCATTTGAGTCCATTTTGTAAACACTTGTTATGCAAAGATATAAATGTTTATTCCCAGCAAAAAATAATTGATGTCATACTTTACAAACTACATCTTAATCACATCTTAAAATGCGATTACATATTTTTCACTTTTATAAACCAAATATTTCCTTACAAATGAAACCCCAGTTAAAAGTGAGGAAAGAGATGTGGAAAAGTCATTACAAATAACATATTTGAAGTACATCAAGATTTGGTGAAAGAGTAGTGAAATTTACATAAGCGTGTCATTAAGAGAATGTGTTTTATTTTTGACATCCAAATATCGGATTTTTACTGCTTCTAAAAATAAGATCAGATGTAGTTCAAAGCTGCCAAAAATGAACAACATCCCTCCAATGGCACGCTAATGTAAAATTCATAGGTTTTACACCCGAATTTGAAGCACTTCGGGTTACTAGTTGTGATGAAAATTCTACATCTTTTTCCACACTTTTTTTGCTGGGTTGGAGTAGGGCGATAGTGGTATCATTTAAAAGGCCTTGCAACGGCGCATTAGGAAATGTAAAATATTCATAACGCAGCTTCCGTAAAATATTAACAAAAGATTTAATTTTTTTGAACAGTATACAGATTATTTTGACAAATTAGCCGAATTTTATTTAATTTCTATTCCAGGAAAAAAAGTGTGGAAAAAGATGTAGAATTTTCATCACAACTAGTAACCCGAAGTGCTTCAAATTCAGGTGAAAAACCTATGAATTTTACATTAGCGTGTCATTGGAGGGATGTTGTTCATTTTTGACAACTTTGAACTACATCTAATCTTATCTTTAGAAGTTGTAAAAATCCGATATTTGTATGTCAAAAATAAACCACATTCTTTCAATGAAACGCTTATGTAAATTTCATCAAAATTTGAAGTACTTCGAATATGTTGTTTGTAGTGACTTTTCTACATCTATTTTCTCATTTTTAACTGTGTTTTAATTTGTAAGTATATGTTTGGTTTATAAAAGCGAAAAGTATGCAATCGCATTTTTAGATGTGATTAAGATGTCGTTTGTAAAGTATGACATCAATTATTTTTTGCTGGGATGTGATTAAATGAATCTTGTTATTTATTACTTTTTATATTCGCGGTTTTGTCCATTCCTTTACAGTCTCAAAATTCATATCAAAAATATTTGATATGGGTCAAACTTTTACATTTGTCATACGCATTTCTAAAACGTGGAATAATTTCCATATTAAAATTTTTTTCCCGCCATTTTATACAAAATGTGCAAAAAATCAAAAATTTTCTTTCCTAAAAACAGGTTATTAATTAAAGTTTTCAAATAAACCATGTTTTAAGTTTTTAAATATATTTTAACTTTCTGCATTTAACTTATACACAGTAAGCAGTACATTTCGCAGAAAAATTTTTAATTTGGCCATTTAGTTAGCCGTTTAAATACAATTTTTTCGATTTTCCAAAAAATATGCTTTTATTCGGAAACCGCGAAAATTTCGAAATTGATGTTCTTGATTTACATATTATTCAATGGCCCTTCGAAGGAGCTTTCATATGATACCCCCATTGAAAAATTGCGGTAAATTTACTTCATACAGTCTAGTTTCAATACTGACAATTTCCTCATGATTGTTTACAGGATCTGTAAAGGAAGATGGCCGAAAGTTTCAAAAGAAAATTAAGATTCATTTCATTTATCTTCTTTAAAATTGTTATATTATATTTTTATTGAATTAACTATAATACATGTTTATTATTTGATGATAATTTTTAAATAAACTTACATAATTTGAAATAAACGTAAAAAAATATATATTTTTTCTATAACAAAATCGGAAGACATGGTATTTTAACTTACAAATGCAAATAGGATTGTAATCTACATACATTACATTCTTATTTGCAATTTTAATTTGTCTTAATGAAACTGTGGCTTACATTCTAAGCGAGAGCACATCGATGAGGCAGCCTAGGACACTTTTATGTTAAATCTAAGTGGAAGAATAAGTGAAAGCATCACCACTGACTGCCACGAAATATCACATAGATAAGCGAGTACATAATGTGTATTTTTACCGCTGGGTTGCTCGCTTACAATGTCATACTGATGTCATCGAATATTATCTAAGTACTTTGTTTCATTTACCGCTGGGCTTTTATTGTAGTTAGAAAAAATATTGCCTAATTACGCTTGTTATGATCAAATTTCATAACAAGTAAAATAGTAAATTTTACAGATAAAACATATTCAAAGAAAAGAAAAATATATATTTCTTCAGAAAGATAATGTTTTTTATTTAAAATGTGTAAAAAAGTATTAAAAATACTGTTTTTATGTGTTTTCATTCTTATGCATTAGTAATTTTTTTTGGAGTGCACGAGTAATTTGCAAGTAATTCCCTTGTTTACAAATTGTGTTGTTGATTTTACAAATTGTTTTTGCAATTTTTGAAACATAGCGACATCAACCTACATTGTTGAATGCAACTGAAGATAATTTTTTGTATTTTTACGCTCTTGCTATGAGTTTTGTTTACGATCGGGTAGTGTACGTGTGAATTGCCGAAAATCTTCGTAATTTGAACAAAATGAACGCGCAACGATGATTTATACGCCATAGAAACCGCATTAAGGTATAGAATATATGCTCCTGATTTGAATAAAATCGAAGGGGACAAAAGCGTTTTTTGGTCGATTTATTTTGGAATTACCCTATAGTGTTACGATACAACATATTTTGGAACCGACAAAACAAATATTGTTACATTAAAAACTCATACGGCTGTATTTATAAAAACTTATTTTAGGTTTATTAAACAATTTTAGGCAAAATTCATGAAAATCGTATTTATAAACGTGAAATAGCTTAAAACACCTTCAATAAACCATTGACAATTAGAAGAATTTTATTGTAGGCTCGACCCTTCTTTAAGCCAACAATAACTTGATTTTTAACAATTTTTTTCTCAGATAAAGATTTTCCGGTAATTTTAGGTTGATTGCGAAAAGTAATTATGGTTTCTTTTAAAATAAAATCTAAAAATTCTAATTTTAACGTTTACAAATTTGTAAATAAAATCCCAGAAAATTTTTAAACGATTATATTTTGAGGAAAAAACTCAAATCTAGGCATTATTGGAATAATGCATGAATATCTGACAATATTCCAATTGTCCAGCACTATTTTTAGGCAATTTGGAAATGCCCGTCTGTCAACCAAATGATGAACAAAATCATTTGTTTTGGCTTTTTCAAAGTTTGTTGGTTAAATATAATGCCATAAAGTAATTGACCATGTAAATTATATTGATTAGTGTTATACTAATGCAAAATATATTCGCCGGCATTAAAATTTGTCAAATATCAAAGAAATTTATCAATATTTGCAAAAATTTATCAAAAATTACAAGGAAAATAAGTAAAAATAAGAAAATGTGTCATAGTGATGTATATTTTGTCGCAAAATATCCGTTATTCGGATACTTTTAATAATAATTAGAAATTATATGTTATATTTATACATCTGAACTAAATAGACATTTATTAAAGCCATATATATATTTATTTTTCTTAAAAGTTTGTTTTTATTGTCAAAAATCTATTATAAACAAAAATATGAAATTAAGAAAACCGAATCAACGAATATTTTATCCTAATTGTACGCAACACTAACACATAAAATGACAGCCATATTGTACAGTGCTGCCAACTTAAACATAAATCAGCACAATAGTTAATATACGTTTATTATTTGTTTATGAATATCATAATTTTATTAATGGTTTTTAAGGCTAAAGTGTGCTTTAACTATTGAGTGCATTAAACGCAAAATAAGATTTTTTTATAAATACAAGCGATCATTTTTAATGTAACGGTAAAAAAACATTATTCTTCCACTTAGATTTAGTGGCCTCCGGTAGCTTAGTGGTTAGTGTTCTAGTCTGGTAGACCGGAGGTGGTGGGTTCGATTCCCACCTGAGGCACTGGTTAAGGAGCGCACAACAGGCCCGATAGAGGCCTAGGTGTATTTCTTCGGATTTGATGTATATACATCCTCCTTTCAAACTAACTAACTAACTAACTCCACTTAGATTTAACATAAAAGAATGCATGCCACGATATCAGTAGGTGCTACCAAGAATGATAAACTAAAGATTATGCCTTGCGCATGATTTACCTTTAGATGACGTAGTTGTTCCCTTTTGAAGGTTTCCAAATATGTTTCATGTGTAGAAATAACAATTTCTTGAAAAAATCTAATGTATATTATAATAATTGGTAACCCTGCAATTTAATTTACTTTGACAGTTTAGAAAAAAATATTTCATCAGTTCTTGAAAAATATAAAGAATTTCGCCTTAAATTTATTTAAATATAACATTAAAAAATATAAAATGATAAATAAGTGTAGTGAAGTGCGGTAATAAGGATCCAGAACACAGAAAAACAAAATCAAAATTTAGAGGAAAAAACATAAACATGGAGTGAACAGTGGACAAATTTAATCAAAATTAATATTCAAAAAAAACTAGTGAAAAATTGTGAAAAAAAATTTACATTGTGCCCTTTTTATATAAATTTTTATTACATTTTGGTATTTAATTTTATAAAAGAAATTGCAATAAATAATTAAATTTATGAAAAGAATGGTTACTATCCATTAATTTTTAGATAAAAATGATAAATTGTCTCACTGTTATATTTATAGCTGAAAATTATTAACCAATAGGAACACAGATTGTGTGACGTCAGAGCTCCTATATGCGCAGAAAGTTTTAATTATGTTCGCCTGCCGACGTAATCTTTAGTTTAACATTCTTGGGTGCTACTACGATTCAATTCTATAGTAAGTTCTAAGCGAAGTTGACGAGATACCTATAATGTAGAATGTATGTATGTATGTATCTAAATTACAATAATATTTGCTTTTGTAAGTTAAATTACCATGCATACTGATTTTGTTACTAAAAAATATTTTTTTTGTCTTATATTTATTTAAAAATTACAACGATTTTGATGTAACACCCCCTTATTCACAAACAACATTTTAATTTTATAAAAGGTTTATAAAACAAAATTTCCATACAAAATCTAATTTATAAACTGTTTATAATATAAAAATTTTGTTTGTGAATAAGGGGGTTAGAGTTTTAGTTAATTTTTAAATATAAAGAATTTTATGGGTCTTATTTACAAGACTTTAGCAAAGGTTTTCTTATTACAAAAATATTGAAAATTTCATTTAAATAATCTTAAAAAATATAAATGAGAATGTAACAAATGAATTGGAGGGATTCGTAATCTGTAAGTTTGTAAATCTGAAATAAATTGTAAATAATATTTTCGAAATTTATTTTTATTTTAATTTAAAAAAATCTAAAAATCTGGTAAAAATAAAAGGTATAATATATAGGTGGTTTAAGGAAGTTCGAAATTTTATTTTATTGAATTTTTTCTGTATTGATTATAAGGTTCCCAAAAAGTATAGGAAGGAACATAAAAATTAATTAACTTTGGACATAGCCTTTCCAAAATTTTTAATATTTTCGAAAATTATTTTTTTAATGTTAAAAAAAACGTAACAAAAAATTACTAAAAATCTGGTAAAAATAAAAAGAACTGGTAAGAAGTGGGTTAAGAAAGTCCTAAAATTTATATTATTGATTTTTTTCTGACTTGATTATTCGGTTTCAAAAAATGGCACAAGCTCCCCAAAATCAATACTCATTTCTTAAAATTTCATCAGCACTCGTGAAGGATTATGCAAAATTAAAACCTCTTTATCTCAAAATTTTAACGTATAGGAAAAAAATAAAAATTGTTAGTTAAATATCGGACATATATAGCTCTTTCCCCAAATATATGTTTCATACAATGAGCAAACAAAAATTATTAATTTGTAAACTTATGTTGATGCTATCGGTGCTTTGCTCAGTTATTTCCTTTGCCAGTAAGTTGGACAGCAATATACCGTACTGCGAAAATGAGGAGGAAGTAGAGTCGATCTCAGATGAATATTTTTTTGCTGTTACACACGGAATGACAAACTTATACATATATACACTCTTATCACCACTGATGGTGGTGGAGGGTATAAAAACAACATTAAAATGACAACTGCTTAAATCATAATATAAGTTATAATTAGAGTATGATGTGTTGGTTTACGCATAGATTCCATTCTAAGTACTTAGAATGCTCGCTTAGAACACCATACTGATTTCATCGCATATTACCTAAGTACTTTTCCAGCTAGCATTTTTTAAATTTTTTTATCACATTCGAGTCATTTATGACTCTTCTGCACGATTAAAATGAACATATATGCGCTCATTTTCTGATCATAAATGATACATTCGTCGGGAGAAAATGGTACCCTACCCGCGACTCTTCTAAATGAGTCATTTATGAGCCCCACTTCTGATCAATTATGACTCATTTTTTAATCTTTTTTGAGTCATTAATGAGCCAAATAACTAGTCGTTTTTGAGTTATTTCCGAATCATATAGCCATTTTCGAGTCTTTTCTGAGTAATTTTTATGTTTGTTGCAGACAAATACAATACAACGGAAAACAGTTTTTGATCTTCCGACTGCGCGAAATATAATTACAAACTAAATTTATAAACAATCAAACAAACCTGGATGACCTATTTATGATTGGTATACATTTTGTTATTGGTTTTCAAATAAATCAGATTTCAAACATTAATTGGATTATTTAGACTTGGATTATTTAGATTAGTCGCCCAACTATATTCCGTAGAAGATCATTAAACACAGAAAATTATTATAATTAAAGCATAATATAATTTCAATTTCCTTGACAGAAAATCGACTTTATAAATATCACACAAATTCAAATGCTTATACATTTAATTTTATAAACGAAATGAGAATTATATCAACTCATTTTAGCCCACACAAAATGTTTTGCTAACTCTTCCAAAAGAGTCTTTTCTGAGCCCCATTTCTAATTAGTTTCGACTCATTTTTCGTTTTTGAGTCATTTTTAAGTGTAAGTTTTGCTATTTCATTACAAGCAAAAACAATTACATAAGGAACAATTTTAGATCTTCCAACTGCTTGAAATATGTCCACAAAATACATTTTTAAAACCATCATATTTTAAACACCAGGATGATAAATTTATGATTGCTTTGTTATTGTTTTTCAAATATTCAGTTTTCAATTAAGCGCTCAACTTATTAATCACTTTTAAGTCATCAAAAGGAGTCAAACATGACTCAGTTTACTGAGTCAAAATGCTAGCTGGGTTGTTTCATTTATTGCTGTGATATTTCATTGTTGTGATATTTCATTGCTGTGATATTTCATTGCTGTGATATTTCATTAAGTAAATAGTATTTATTTTTATTGAAATTTTATTAATATGTATATATTTTTTATTTTTGTACTAAATTTCAGAGGTCCTGCAGGTTATGATAGAACTAGAAATGCTGTAATTGGAAATAAAGATTTTGATTTGACCTATCTTGAAGAAGCGTACACTACAGAGCATTGGTTGGTACGGATTTATCGAGTTAAGAAACCTGAAGAATTTAATAGGCCTGTAATAAAATTAAATGAACGTACTGTAACATCATCAAACTTTATTTCAAGAAAGGTAGGTGTTGTACTTTTATGCTTGTGAAAATAAAATAAGAATTTTAGTATTAAACTTAAAACGTGTTTATTAAATGATCACATGAAAAGGACCGTTAGTTGAGATAGAGGGTTAAAATCAATTGAAGCAGTAATTTCGAAAAGGGCATGCGGACGCAAACTTATCAGGAGGAACACAAAAACGTTTGGCATAAAAGAAATTCCATGATCCTAAAAAAGTTAAATATAAAAAATATGATAAACAAAAACACAAATAATTTTTATACCCTCCACCACCATGAGGGGTGATAACTTTGTCATTCCGTGTGTAACACCAAGAAATATTCATCTGAGACCCAATAAAGTATATATATTTTTCGTCCTTATGAAATTCTGAGTCGATTTAGCTGTGTCCGTCCGTCTGTCTGTCTGTGTAAAACACGCTCACGTAAAAACGAAGCGAAATAAATTTTTAAAAGTTGGCCAGAATATTCCCTATTGTCCTAGGCGGTTTACATCGGGAAAAGTTATGAATCAAATTTTAAAACAACTCCGAAAAAAATAAGCATTTTTTACACATTCTGATACAATTTTCACGAAAACTATGCAATATAATTACATGAAAATCATCACACATTTGTTTTTAAACGAGAACTTTATTCTTGTTGAAAATTGCCAAAATCAATCCACAATTTCTTATACCTCCCATACAAAAGTACATATTTCCGGAAAATGAGATTATTGTTAATAACTTCCGTCAGAATGTTGATATCTTCACAAAATTTTACAAATTAAAATTCTATGTCAATAGAATTTTTATAGAGAAACAATTTTCTGGGTCGGTCCATAATTGAACATAGCTCCCATACAAGGTCCCCTCCCGAAAATCACTTAAACGCGCATAACTCATTACTAAATTAAGATATCCAAAAGTTTCACAAAATTTTACAAATTAAAATTCTATGTCAATAGAATTTATATAGAGAAACAATTTTCTGGATCGGTCCATAATTGAACATAGCTCCCATACAAGGTCCCCTCCCGAAAATCACTTAAACGCGCATAACTCATTACTAAATTAAGATATCCATATAAAATTTGATACAAGTATTGCTCTTGTATACAAAAATATTACTGTTTCTATAAAATTATGGAAATATTACGTTAGATTTTCAGTTCCAAACACTTGTATTTTATGAATTGATGTTGTTAAAATAAAATGGAATGCATTTTGTTGTGGAACATTTCTTATTTCCTTTTCAATTTAGAATTTGGTGAAAATCTCTCAAAGATAAATCTAAGAAAATGCGACACCTAATTGGAAAAGTCCATTTTTTATTAAAAAATTTTTAAGCCAAATCTAATTTTGATAAAAACTGTAGTTGTATTTTGGTAAATATTATTTTTAATTTAATGTAAAATAAATTTTACGTCATTATTTTTAGGACTAATAATGGGAATAGGCCAAAGATATATTCCTGCCCAGGTTAGATCCATTTTTGAACTTCATAAAGCCTGTAAATCGTAAAAGGATATGGCAGACCAGCTCAATTGTTCAAAAAAAAATATTTTTGATCGTTTATAGCATATTAAGAAATATGACACTGATACTAACGCTCCACGTCGAAAAATTTCCAGAAAAACATCATCCCACCTCAAACCGGATGATAAGACGAATCTCTAAACCTGACCCAAAGAAATCATCCACGGGTATCCAGCGGTAAATTTGAGAAAAATTGGATATAATGTTTTCTAAGCCAACTATTTCGCGATGTTTGGTGGAATCGAGGCATCTTGGGAACGAACCGCGCAAGAAACCTTTTCCAACTAAAATTTAAAGAATTTGCAATATCTCTTGTAAATGAAACATCGCGTTGAATTTACCTGATCTTATCAGAATTAGACGGTTAATCAGTGAAATTATTTACCTTGGCGTTTTGAAACAGAGATTAATCGCATTAAACCTCAATATACAAGGTACAATAAATGGTAAAAGGTGTGGTAGAATTTCGAATGAGATATGGCTAATTCTTTGAAATTTTGGGTAATAAAGATTTATTTCATGATTCTCTTCCATGATGCCCCGATTCCACCAAACATCGCGAATTATTTGGCTTAGATAACGTTATATCCAATTTTTCTAAAATTTACCGCTGGATGTCCGTGGATGATTTCTTTGGGTCAGTTTTAGAGATTCGTCTTATCATCCGGTTTGGGGTGGGCTGATGTTTTTCTGGAAAATTTTCGACATAGAGCGTTAGTATCAGTGTCATATTTCTTAATATGCTATAAACGATTAAAAATATATATTTTTTTTGAAGAATTGAGCTGTTCTCCTATATCCTTTTACGATTTACAAGCTTTATGAAGTTCAAAAATGGATCTACCCTGGGCAGGAGTATATTTTTGGCCTATTCCCATTATTAGATCTTATACATTAAATTTAAAATAAAATTTACCAAAATACAATTACAGTTTTTATCAAAATTAGATTTGACATAAAAAATTTTTAATAAAAAATGGCCGTTTCCCATTAGACGTCGCAATTTCTTAGATTTATCTTTGGGCGATTTTCACCAAATTCAAAATTGAAAAGGAAATAAGAAATGTTCCACAACAAAATTCATTCCATGTTATTATAACAACATCAATTTATAAAATACAAGTGTTTGGAACTAAAAATCTAACGTAATATTTCCATAATTTTATAAAAATCACATCAAGCAGTAATATTAAGAGAGCGTTTCCAATTAGCTGACCACAGGTGTATATATAAAACAGACTGTTTGTTTGTCAAGCTTTCACGGCAAAACTACTGAACCGATTTACATGAAATTTGGACCACTAATAGGTCTAACCCCAAAAGGAACAATAGGCTATATAGGATCATGATCGGATGCCACGCCCTTTTTACGCCCACTTTTTGTAAAACTATTATTACACCAATTTTGCAATCACAATATGCAAAATCTACTAAACCGATTTACCTGAAGCTCGGAAAGAACGATGCCACGCCCCTTTTTTATAAAACTATCCTTACCTATATCCTATCCTATAATTATATGAAAGAGACTGTCTGTTACGCTTTCATGGCCAAACTACTGAATCGATTTACATGAAATTTAAAACTCTAATAGTTCTATTCTAAAGTGGACCAATATTCTATATAAAATCATGATGGGACGTCACGTTTCTTCTTATGCTCACTTTTTTCTATATAATTGTTATACAAAATTTTCATTCGAGACTTACAGAAAACTACTGAACCGATATATAATATATCATAATTACTAAACCGATTTACATAAAATTCGGCATATTAATAGGTCTAACTTCAGAAGTTAAAAATGACTCTATATGATATTGATTGGATGCTACGCACATTTTTATGTTCACTTTAGAACAGCTATAACACCAAATTTCTAGGCTAAATATAAAAAAACATGAACCAATTTTCAAGAAATTTGGCAACAGACAGTGTATTTTTGGATCAACTTTTTGATTGTGGAAGGTTAGGTTAGTTTGAGGAAGAGAATGTTTAATACATCAAATCCGATTAAATACACCTATACCACTAATTTCGGGCCTGAGGTGATCTTAATGAAATGCAATGACCTTTTCCGTTCATTTTTTGTTACATTTATAATGCTCATTTAGGTAGATAAAATTTTAATCGACAATTTAGTTTTATTTAAAAACTCTAAAATGTTTGTAGGTCCTTAACTTACTTTACGATTAGGTAAAATAAAAATCTGTAATCAATTTAATATATTATCAAAAATCGATTTTCATCTAAAGCGTAAAATCGGTTGTGATTCGTATATCCCATCACTTATATTTTTACCGGAAAACTATTCTTATTTCCAGCGTTTAAATATGCAGTAATAGCACAAGATTTCTTTTGTACGACTATGCAATAAATATAAAACTTTAAAATTTTTCCATATTTCTAGTAGATATTTGTTCTGTTTGCATTTTTTGTTAGCAGGCGCAAAATATTTCAAAACAATCAAAATATATTTTTCTGTTTTAGCAGCGCACGCACACAACAGTCGAACCACTATTGCCGTGGAAAAATTGTGCAATAAATTGTGTTGGTTCTACTACTGCCAGTAGCAAAATGATCATCTGTCTGTTGCAATTTATCGTAACCAAAAATTAACCCAATGTTTTCACGCTTGTATTTGTTATTCTAGAATGTTGAAAAATTTTCCGTTATTGTGTTTGCTGTCTATTTTTGATAAACAAATTGTTTTTAGGTTGTTATTCTAGAATGTTGAAAAATTTTCCGTTATTGTGTTTGCTGTCTATTTTTGATAAACAAATTGTTTTTAGGGAAATAACCGTTTTAGTGTTTTTGTAACATGATTTGATGTATGTATGTATGTATGTATGTATGTATGTATGTATGTATGTATGTATGTATGTATGTATGTATGTATGTATGTATGTATGTATGTATGTATGTATTGTATGTATGTATGTATGTATGTATGTATGTATGTATGTATGTATGTATGTATGTATGTATGTATGTATGTATGTATGTATGTCTGTTGTATGTCTGTATGTAGTATGTCTGTCTGTATGTCTGTATATGTCTGTCTGTATGTCTGTCTGTCTGTATGTCATGTCTGTATGTCTGTCTGTCTGTCTGTCTGTCTGTCTGTCGTCTGTCTGTGTCTGTATGTCTGTCTGTCTGTCTGTCTGTCTGTCTGTCTGTCTGTCTGTCTGTCTGTCTGTCTGTCTGTCTTCTGTCTGTCTGTCTGTCTGTCTGTCTGTCTGTCTGTCTGTCTGTCTGTCTGTCTGTCTGTCTGTCTGTCTGTCTGTCTCTGTCTGTCTGTCTGTCTGTCTGTCTGTCTGTCTCTCTGTCTGTCTGTCTGTCTGTCTGTCTGTCTGTCTGTATGTCTGTCTGTATGTCTGTATGTATGCTGTCTGCTGTCTGTCTGTCTGTCTGTATGTCTGTCTGTCTGTTTCTGTCTGTCTGTCTGTCTGTCTGTCTGTCTGTCTGTCTGTCTTCTG